ATCAGTCTTTGCAGTGTTATACTAGTTTTGCACACCTATGAGAAACGTTTGAAAGACCTATTTTCCCACAGTCTCAGCAACAGAAAACATTATTATTTTTATGTGTCTTTTTTCAATTAGGTGAAAAACATTTCGGTATAGTTTAGATTTTCACAGTTCTGATTAAGAGCGAAGTCAAGTATCTTCTTGTATGCTCAGGTGATTTTTTTTTCTTTCAGTTAGACTTTTGGCTGTGGCCTCTCAAGTTGGTTTTAGAAATTTTTTTCCAAGACAGAAATAACTGATTCAAAGCAATATTTCAATATTCTTTAAATAAAGCTTACTAATATGGAAGTGATCAATTTTATTGTTTCAAATAAGATTGTTAATTATTTGGCCTGTGTTAATACGTTCACAACATCTGTAAGATTTAAGACTTTTAAATACTCGTAAACTACATTCTTATAAATTATGCAAGGAATGAAGAAAAAAATGTGAAAACTAATGAGTTCAAATATTGTATAAGTTAAACTAAATAATTTAAGTACAGAATTTTCTTGAAGGTTCTTAATATTTAAAGACATTTTTATCTGTATTTTCACTGACATAAACTCTAGATTAGCAGGTTTTTTTCCAACACTTTCAGGATATCATCCTATTTTTTTCTGGCTCACGTTGTTTCTGTTTTTCAAGTCAGCTATCAGTCTTATTGCGACCATTTGAAAATAAAATGGTGCACGTGATATGATGTGTTAAATGTAATTTTCTTTGTCAGAGTTGCTAGTAAAACCGTTTATTGGGTTCTTAATTGCAGTTATCATATTTTTCAGTTTTAGCATTTCTCATTAATTTTTGGGTTAACTTTATTTTTTATAAAATCAAATAATGAAATAATGTATAGAGGACTATTACTTGAAAAATAGAAGTCCTCTATGCCTTAATTCTAACAGATGATCACAGTAATTAATTTCTTACAAATCCTTCCAGAAGTTTCCCATATATCTATTTCTCTGGTCATTGACCATTCACCCAGAAATGAAAGTCATCACTAGTTATCTCTCCTTATGACTCTATAGTAGTAATTGATTTATTCAACATTCCTTGCTCCATCTCTATCACTTTTATGTCTTGGATGAATAAAAATTAAGGTTTTCTCTCTCCTAGTAACCGTTTTATATTTGAGGTTTTTTATTTGTTTTCTTTTTTCCTATATTTTTAGTTTTTTTTTTTTTTTTTTTTTGAGACAGAGGATCACTCTACAGCCCAGGCTGGAATGCAGTGGTGTGATCTTGGCTCCCTGCAACCTCTGCCTCCTGGGTTCAAGCGATTCTCCTGCCTCAGCCTCCCAAGTAGTCAGGACTACAGGTGTGTGCCACCACGCCTGGCTAATTTTTGTATTTTTAGTAGAGACAGGGCTTCACTATGTTGGCCAGGCTGGTCTCGAACTCCTGACCTAAAGTGATCCTCCCACCTCGGCCTCCCAAAGTGCTGGGATTACAGGTGTGAGTCACCGTGCCCGGCACTGACATTGTTTTTTGTTTATCCTAAACTCCTCAGTCTTCTTCTTTCCAGACCTCTCCATATACAGATGCTATTTCATGTTGCTCCCAACAAATGTAAACACATTTTATCATAGGAGTTACTTTTGAAAAATTTGATTTATTTCATAAATATTCCCGGCCGGGCGCGGTGGCTCAAGCCTGTAATCCCAGCACTTTGGGAGGCCGAGACGGGCGGATCACGAGGTCAGAAGATCGAGACCATCCTGGCTAACATGGTGAAACCCCGTCTCTACTAAAAAATACAAAAAACTAGCCGGGCGAGGTGGCAGACGCCTGTAGTCCCAGCTACTCGGGAGGCTGAGGCAGGAGAATGGCGTAAACCCGGGAGGCGGAGCTTGCAGTGAGCTGAGATCCGGCCACTGCACTCCAACCCGGGCGACAGAGCGAGACTCTGTCTCAAAAAAAAAAAAAAAAAAAAAAAAAAAAAAAAAAAATTCCCTGTCACACCCACTCAGTAAACTTTCCCCTGAAATGGAAAATGTCTGGCTGAGAGCTATAGGAATCAAATGGTAATACAGGGTGAAACTAGCTGTTACCAATTCTGTAGCAGGACTATCAACCTTATAAAATTTAACCTTCCACTCATTATGTTGCATTTCTCAGTCTTAATTAATTCACATAATAAAACAAAGCATTTCTTGGGCAACTGTTACATTTGTGGAGAATTTTAAGGCTTTACATGTTATTCTAAAAGGATGAAAATGTATTGACCAGGCAGCCATGACAGGCATAGTCTCTTATTTGGAACAAGGAAGAGTCAAAGTGCCCAAGCTGGTGGTGGTTGTTATTGTTTTTTTGTTTTGTTTTGTTTTGTTTTGTTTTTTGTTTTCCACAGCCTCCTGAGTAGCTAGATTTCAAGTGTGTGCCACTATACCTGGCTGAATTTGTTATTTTTTTATTAGTTTTTTTTTTTTTTTTAATTTTTGTTTTTCCTTATTTCTTCTAAAAAAAAAAAAAAAGGCTGGGCACGGTGACTCACGCCTGTAATCCCACCACTTTGGGAGGCCGATCAGGAGATCGAGACCATCCATGCTAACATGGTGAAACCCCATCTCTATTAAAAATACAAAAAATTAGCCAGGCGTGGTGGCGGGTACCTGTAGTACCAGCTACTCGGGAGGCTGAGGCAGGAGAGTGGTGTGAACCCGGGAGGCGGAGCTTGCAGTGAGCCGAGATCAGGCCACTGCACTCCAGCCTGGGTGACAGAGGGAGACTCCGTCTCAAAAAAAAAAAATTAGCCAGGTGGGGTAGTGCTTACCTGTAGTCTCAGCTACTCTGGAGGCTGAGGTGTGAGGATCCCTTGAACCTAGGAGGTTGTGGCTGCAGTGAACTGTTATCACACCACTGCACTCCACCCTGGGTAAAAGAGTGAGACACTGTCTCAAAAAAGAGACCAAAAAAGAACAAAACAAAACATCAAGGTGGATATAGGTGTTCACAGAACTTATAGAAGAAATAAACTTTGCAATTTTGAAATGCTCTCTGGTAGAGGCTTTTCAGGGGCCTAAAGGAGACTGTCAGGGAGTACACGCGGGTCGTATAGAAGTTAGGAGCATGGTCTCTCCAGGCTACCTGTGTGGTTCGAATCTTGGCTCTGCCACTTGCTGGCTATGTGCAAATTAATTACCTTCTCTCATCTCAGTTTTCCCATAAATAAAGGTCAGAATAACATATACATATTTATTTTCTATTTCCCAGGAAGAATATAAGCATTTTAAGAACAGGATAAAAATTCCTGATTTACTTCTGTAAAACCAAGTGCTGAAAGCAGGTAATGACACATGTAGGTACTTAATAAATATTTATTGAGTGAATAAATATTTAATGCCTGTTATTGTTTTAAATAGGGCATGTGATAAAGCATGTAAATAAAATTATTCACATTTTTGGTGCGTGTTAAGCATATGATCAATTGATGTGGACAGGAGACAGAGAAATACTGGGTAGAAGAGGGGGGTTCCCTGGCAAGGGCCCCACCCTCAAACCTGGAAACCTGCGGCCCTAAATGAGAACAGACATGCCTATTTTTGAGCCCAAGAAATTGCCTTTTGGCCCATCATGCCCCTCTCCGGGACCCATATAAACCCTGAACCCCAGGATTTCCAGCAGGAGATGAGCAGATGACAGATGAATGGCAGAATAGCACAGCAGAGGAGAGAAGGGAAGGAGCGTCTGAACGTAGGGAGGAGTTCGGCTGGGGATGGACGGAGAATCAACCACTGGACAGCCAACCTCCAGGGGAAGATCATCTTCCCACTCCATCCCCTGGCCGGCTCCCCATCCTTCCCACTGAGAGCCACCTCCACCACCCAATAAAACCCCACATTCACCATCCTTAAAGTTCATGTGTGACCCGATTCTTCTGTGATGCTAGACAAGAACTTGGGATACAGAAAGCTGTCACGCTAGCCCTCTGCCCTTGCAAAAAGGCAGAGAGAGGTTCCACTGAGCTGGTTAACACTTAAGCTGTCCTTAGACGGCAAGAGCGCACTGTAATACACTCCCACTTGTGCTCCAGCGCCTGCCCATCTGCGTACTCCTCCTCCTCTAAGAGGTTTGAGCAGCTGAACAGATGAGCCACACCCCTGTTGCATGTCCTGCGAGGGAGGTCAGGTAACTCTCCTGTTTCACCATGTTACAATCCTAATTAATATAAAAATGATCTTTTCCAATGATTACATTTCCCTGCCCTGGATTCTGATTCGCATTTAGGATCATTGGCCTAGGGGATATAGTCCCACTTTCTCGCCCAGATTCGCTTGGCCTCTCCTGATTTTGCTCCTGTCCTCTTGCCAGATCTGCTTCTAACTCTTCCACGTATACTTAATCCTGCCCAATATGAAAGTGTTTACCTGTGCTGAACAAGCCACTATTTCATGCTTTGGGCTCTTGGTTCCTGCTGTCCTATCTACCAGAATGCCCTCTGCCCACTTTATGCACCTGATCCTTGCTCATATTCCACTTCTGTGGGCTGGCCTTCTGGGATGAAGCCCCTCAGGGCTCCCTCTACCCCTTTACTCCTCTATTATGCCTGAGCTCCTCAGGCAGAGCTGCACAGGACCCTGATATCTCTGAGTGTCACAATCCATTGAAAACAAGCAACAGAATAGCATAGAATGCTACTGCTCATTTAGGGAGCCACGGACTCCATGCTGACTCTGCTGCACGCAAGAGGACTCCTGTCTTCTGGGATCTGAGCCCTTGCTGGAGGGCAGTGGGATGGAGAGAGGCCAAGCAACAGGGAGGCTTGGTGCCACCCTACCGTGAACTTGGACCACTGCTTTTCCTCTCTGTGAGCATAGCTCCTCTTCCAGTTTCTTCTTCTCTCCCTCTTCATACCAGTGGGCAGTGAGAACCTGTACAATCTCCACAGTAAAGTTCTTTGAAAGACAAATGTTCTAGATATTTCAGGTAATCTGGGGTTCTTCAGGGGCAGATTTTGGAGATACAACAGAACATGGAGAAGCGTGTTAAGAAGTTTATTGTATAGACCACAACAGAAATTCCAGCCAGGTTTCCTTAGAGGAAATCATCTGGATGTGGCAAACAGACTGGACTTCTGTTACGCTACCACTAGGGATTTAATAGTATAAAACCGGTTTTTACTGATGGGGGTTACAGCATCATCATTAGGGCAGATGCCTAATTCCCGAATAATATCAACGACGGCTGCAATTTTCACAGTTCCTGAAAAAGACGGGGACAGAGATCATCTCTCAGACACCCCAGCCATGTCCTGTCTTTTCTACTCATATCAGGCATCTGCCTCCTGGGGTTCAGTTTCCCCAAATCCTTTGCAAATTTGTCTCCCGTATCAACTTTTTGCACACAGTGCCTCTGTCTTAGAACCTAGGTGCCTTCCCTATCTGCTGTCCCCATGCTCTTCCCTCCCTCCCCTCTGTCCTTCTGCCCTGAGGTCCTCGTCCTGCTCGGTTTTGCTGTCATGTTTCTGTTTATAGTTTTTCCTCCCTGGTGGCTGGTGGGTAGTTCCTTCCTTGGACAACTTCTGTACTTACTGTTTGTATGAAAGTCCCAGTAGTAGGTATTTGGATAATCGTCACATAGGCAGCGAGTATACCTGTAGTTAAATGCACCTTCCACAGGGACGTCACTAGTGAGGTAAGCTTTAACCTGGTGAGGAGAAGGTGGGAGGGGGAACTCATTGTTATTCTAGGGAATGGGTAAGGGATGGAAAAATAAGAGAGGGAGAAGCTGGAGGAGAAGAGTGGGGGTGGAGGTGGGCCCAGGGCAAGGGGGAGTCTACTGTTGTAGTATCATTTCAGGAGCCAAAGCCTAGGTCAGAAGGTCTTCCCTCCCAACGCCCTCAAACTCCTGCCTTAGCAGTGTGGAGAGCCTCAGGAGGAGACAGAGTTGCAAGTGAGTCCACAGGGCAAGGAGAGCTCATCCAGGGCAGCTGTCCAGCTGGGGAGCAGGCTTGCCTTAGTCACCAGCCAGAGCTTTAAATCGACCTGCAATCACATTTACTCTGAGACCTGGTGAGACAGCAGCCTGGCCACTTGGGTGTAGGAGCCGATGTCAGGCCTTGTTGTCAGAGCTGTGACCAAGCCCCAGCTGTGCTCCTCTCTGACTTGTTGACTTTTGGTGATTAGAGTTAGGCCTCTCACTCTTACTTTCCTCAGTTGTGAGGTGGAAACAATTAACTACCAACTTGGCTGTTAGATAAGCAAATGACATCTTGAGTGTAAATTTCTTTTTAACTTGAGTGCTTTGCAATTCAAGACCCAGATTATTGTATATATAAATTTCAGTGGAGTCAGAAGATTTTGTCCAGTTAATGTTTAACACAGCAGTTTTATCCTGGGGTCCATAGAACCAGAGGGATCTGTGGATAGCACCCAGTGAGTCTGTGAACTCAGGCGGGGGAAAAAATGCATCTTTATTACTAACCTCTAATTGAAATTCAGCATTCCTTCAGTTATGAATGTCGTCAAGGAACCACAGTGCCATTGGCAGTATGTGCGATTTTATCACAAGGAGAAGCATAGATATGTACATATCATTGTACAGATTCAGAGGTTCGAAATATTGCTTGCATACACTACCTTGAATGTATGGCAGTTATCAGACTGGCTCATGGTCATGACTGAGGCCCAGTGCCAGTCTGCCCATCTCCTGCAGCTTGCTCAGCTACCTGGCAACTCTGCACCAAGTAGCCTTTCAGCCCCAAACAGTAAATTCAGGTGTTCTCACCCTTGGAGTTTCACTCAGAATGCCTTGGAGAATCCCGGTGTTTCTTTAGAGAAGCCTAGCTGTGCCTTGTTCGTTTTTTTTTTTTTTTTTTTTTTAAGAGACAGAGTCTCACTCTGTTGCCCAGGCTGGAGTGCAATGGCGCAAATGCGGCTCACTGCAACCTCCGCCTTCCAGGTTTAAGCGATTCTTCTGCCTCAGCCTCCTGAGTAGCTGGGATTACAGGCACCTGCCACCATGCCTGGCTAATTTTTGTATTTTTAGTAGAGACGGGGTTTCACCATGTTGACCAAGCTGATCTCGAACTCCTGACCTCAGGTGATTCGCCAACTTTGGCCTCCTGAAGTGCTGGGATTACAGGCATGAGCCACTGTGGCCGGCTTTGTTTACCTTGCTATTACATTCGCAACAACATATCTTCATGAATCAGAATTTACACCATTTATACAAGAGATCAGAATCCATTGCATGCCCAGCATGGCACGTGGGAAGTGTTGCCAAAGACCAGTGGAATTTAATGTACTTCTTCAAGCTAAGCAACAACATTCATCACATAGATAATATGTTCATAAAATAAAATTCAACTCCTCTATATTTTAAGTGTATTGCTTTCCCAGCTAATGTGTGGATAAAGGAACACATATGTTACTACATCACAAATTTGTTTTGTATAAGTTAGTCACTGTTACTCAATGTGGTAGTTTCTCTCTGTAATCCAATGCATTTCATACATTTAGAAGCAATTTTCTGATAAATGTTTCATAGACTTCATGAAACCAACAAAATGGCCTGTAGCACAAAAATATTTAAGCATTGTGTTTTGCCACAAGTTTCCTTCAGCTTTAAAGGATTATGCAATCTTTATATTCAAATATATGATTGTAGGTATATTCTATGCTAATTCTAACATAAATAAACACGAGACTAACTTTTTCAAAAATTCAGTTACAAAAAACATTATAAATGATAGAAAATGAAGATTAGGTGGTAAGAATTTTATAGTTACATAAATATATTTTAATAAAAATTTAAAAATAGTCATACTTTGAAAAATGAAGCCAAAAATAAAAATTTGTTGACTAGAACTAACAAAATTTTCTTTCCCATAAATTATTTCTAGTTTGCAAAGTCAGTTAGTCTAAGGATTTCTTACCCTTTTACTTGTGCTTAGGTGGGTTTTGAAAAGATTGCTTTATTTTAGAGTACTAGCATGGTTCCTAAAAGCATACTTTTATTAATCACAAAAGCACAAAATTGTGTCACATGCCATTTTATTGATTCAAACATATCTTATTATACCTACTACTACCATTAACTATTACCACCAGAAACCACCATTTTCACAAAAATTTTATGTACACATTATGTACATGTTCTTATTCTCATTCTCACCTGTGCTTGTGATAAACAAAATACAAAGTTGAAAAATTATGATTCAGCCTCACTCCTACCCCAAATTAGGGTACATGTTTCAGATTCTTGGACTGAAAATAGAAAAATTTGACAAAGCAGCTGTGATATTCTTTGCTCATTGACCAGGAATTTTTCTTTACAGGTGTGGGGATATTTCTCGAATGCAGTTGACTGAATAGCAGTCTTCATGCTCTCAATGTTATTTTCCATGTAATCATTGTCCTTAAGTCTCGTTTGAATTAGGAAACTTATGTTGTAAGGAAATACTTGTGCTGCCTGATAGAGGGTGTCTTTCACGAAGGGTCTGGGGAGGGAGTAGGGGAGATGGGGGATGCATGGGTCTTGGCCCTAGAACAAAGGTAGTGGGGGCAGTTTGCATGCTTGTGACGCCTGAGGTCAATGACTAGGAAAAGGACACACAATCAGTGTCCCAGGGAAGATTCACTGTGGATTAATAACTGCATAAGTTTCTTTTACTTCTGGTCCTTGGCAGCTAGACAGGAGGGATAATGCTCTAATCCCAAGCTGCTCAAAATGTGGTCTTTTGGGCATAGCCTTGGTGTGCCTCGGGCATCTGTTAAAACCCAGAAGCCAAGCGCGGTGGCTCACGCCTGTAATCCCAGCACTTTGGGAGGCTGAGGCGGGTGGATCACGAGATCAGGAGTTCGAGACCACCCTGGCCAATATGGTGAAACCCTGTCTCTACTAAAATTACAAAAATTAGCTGGGCGTGGTGGCATGCACCTGTAGTCCCAGCTACTTGGGAGGCTGAGGCAGAAGAATTGCTTGACCCCGGGAGGTAGAAGTTGCAGTGAGCCGAGACTGCGCCACTGCACTCCAGCCTGGGCAACAGAGTGACACTCTGTCTCAAAAAAAAAAAAAAAAAAAAAAGCCCAGAAGCTCTAATCTCTCCCCAGACTTGCTAAATGAAACTCTACGTTTTAACAAGATCCTCGAGTGGGTTTTAGGCACATTACCATTTGAAAACCTCTGATCTTGTTCAGAGACTGGACTTCTGAACTTGGGGAAAAGGAGGAGATGAGTACGAGCTCCTTGTCAGGATGGGGAGGCTGGAACAAGAGTCAACTTCTGGCGACCCAGAGCAAAGGAGCAGAAGAAGTCAAGAGGATAGTAGGGTCACTCAGTGCTTATTGGAGAGGAGGAGTCACATCCTGAATGTTCTCTTCTATCCACCCACCTCAACCTATGGTGTGGAGTTGCCACTTTCTTTTCTCCTCTCCCTCCATCCTAAACTAAACAAGCTCAGGACCTTGGAAGAACTCTAACCCGTTCTCCACTAGCTCTTACACTTTTTTTCTTTTTCCCTCTTTCTCACTTCCTATTCCTTCTTCCTTTCTTTCTTATTTATCCTAGACTTCTCTGGATTCGAATTTCTTCATCTGGAAAATGAGAAGTCATCTGTCCCAAGCTCCCACAGTTGTTCTGAGTCTCAAGTAGCATAACATATATGAGAATGTTTTCTTAAGTACACTGTACATTATTAAAGTGAGAGATTAATTAAATTATATTTATAATCAAGGAATTGAATTATTTTTTGAAGTCATGCCCCCAGTCCTCTACTTACCACCATGCATTCTTTCAATTCTGTTTTAACTTGAAGCATTGCAGTGACTTCCTCATCTCGATTTGCTGTCGTGGGGATCTCAAAATTCTGTATTATGATCCTCCGACTGATTGTGGGAAGAGAGAATCAGAACACCAAGATCAGAGACCAATCTTTGAGTGAGAGGGGGAGCCATGAACAGGGGAAAGGGCACTGGATGGGCAGGGGAGGGAAATTACAGGGCTTGGATCAATTGTTCAGCATCAGAATCCCCTGGAATTTTCATGTGTTGATTGGGTTGGTTACTTCGCACAGATTTAGTTTTGTTTAATAAAACAACTAGGACACCTTACTTTAAGATTCCTTAAAGAACTAAAAGTAGAACTACCATTTGATCCAGCAATCCCACTACTGGGTATCTACCAGAGGAAAAGAAGTCATTATTCAGAAAAGATATTTGCGCATGCATGTTTATGGCAGCATAATTCACAATTGCAAAATCATGGAACCAGCCCAACTGCCCATCAATCAATGAGCATCTTCTTCCCTTCCATTGGCCAAAAACAAGTTTTTAAAAAGAAAAAAGTACACTACCACACGCCATTTCCTGATAACATCCTATAGGCTCTGGTGGTTGTCTACTGAGTAGGAGAGCTCAAGTCATTATTAGGAGAAAATTTTCTAGGAACAGAATCACATTAAACCAGCAAACCTCTTGATCAGGGAAATGCAAATCAAAACCACAATGCGATGCCACCTTACTCCTGCAAGAATGACCATAATCAAAAAAGCAAAATCACTAGATGTTGGCATGGATGCAGTGATCAGAGAACACTTCTACACTGCTGGTGGGGATGTAAACTACTACAACCACCATGGAAAACAGTGTGAACATTCCTTAAAGAACTAAAAATAGAACCACCATTTGATCCAGCAATTCCACTACTGGGTATCTACCCAGAGGAAAAGAAGTCATTATTCAAAAAAGATACTTGCATATGCATGTTTATAGCAGCACAATTCACAGTTATAAAATTGCAGAACCAACCCAAATGCCCATCAGTCAACGAGTGGATAAAGAAACTGTGGTGTGTATATATATACACACACACACACACACACATATATATATATACAGTCTATCCTCTATATATATAGAGAGAGAGGATGGAATACTACTCAGCCATAATAAGGAATGAATTAACAGCATTTGCAGTGGCCTGTATGAGATTGGAGACTATTATTCTAAGTGAACTGACTCAGTAATGGAAAACCAAACATCGTGTGTTCTCACTGATATGTGGGAACCAAGCTATGAGGATGCAAAGGCATAAGAATGGTACAATGGACTTTGGGGACTTGGAAGGAAGAGTGGGAGAGGGGTGGTGAGGGATAAAAGACTACAAATATGGTGCAGTGTATACTGCTCAGGTGATGGGTGCACCAAAATCTCACACATCACCACTAAAGAACTTACTCATGTAACCAAATACCACTTGTACCCCAGTAACTTATGGAAAAATAAAATAAAAATAATAAACATTAAAAAAAACCCAGCAAACATCTCAGTGCACTGGAGGTATTTGTAAGAGCATCTTTGAAGATCCTCCTTCTTTGGTCCCTAGGTAGGGTTTAGGAATTTGTATTTATTTAGCTCTTTAGGAAATTTGGACTTATGGCCATGTTTGGGAACTTTAGATACTACTGTACATTTAGACCATACACCGCAAACTGAAAGGGAAAGGAAATGGAGACAAATAAAATAGTCGGATATTCTTCTTCAGTTATTGAGGACTGGGTTCAGGGCCAGGAGAGTTACTTTCTCTTTCCGAGAAACTTTTGGCTACAGACCTTTGTTATTGTGTGGGATAGAAGGGAATTGAGTTTCTTAGCCCACAGTGTCTCATAGCCCCATTTTCTTGGGGGCAAAGCATCTTAGATTTCAGAGAGATTCTATTTTTGGGTGCCAATTACTATAGTGCCCAGTGCACAGGAAAGGGGTATAAATACCTAAATAACTTCAAAATCTCTCCCATTTGTATATGAGTTTCAGATAGATAGGATGACCAGCTTAGCTCGAGTGACTAACCATCTCAGTTTACCCAGGACTGAGGTCTTTTCTAGAATGGGCCATGGAGGTGGCAGGGGAGGGCGGAGTTTCAATGCTACAACCAGGAAAGTCCTGGGCAAATCAGGATAGTTGATAACCCTAATTAGCATAGGTTATTTGAATACCTTGCTGTCCGTCACGGCTAAGTTGACTGTCATCTGGTGGGGAGGGAGTGGGATCTGAACCTGTCCCACGCAGGGTTTCTTGGGACACTTGCCTCCATTACATCAGCTTGTCAAAACTCTGAACAGTTTCCTCCAGGACAGGATATCTGGCCATGCCACAGAGAGTACCTCCAAGATCACAACTCAGAAACCCAGAAATATAAACCCTACTGCTATAGAGAAAACTCCCTAGATTGGGTATCGCTGCTTTTTCCCAGACCCCTGGCTCCATTTTCTACTTTATTTTACTTGCTCCTTTTTCTGCTTCCTTCACACATGTGTTCTCAATAAGTTGACTTCCGAACCTGTGCTCTCAGGTCCCAGTACACATGAGAGCAAGAGGTGCTCATATTCATCTTCAGACTTCAGGTTAAGAAGAATGTCTAAGCTGCCAGTCTAGCTCAATCTTGGACCACAGGGCAGGGGCCAGGACCTCTGGTCCTTTAGCCAGTCCTGCCAAAGCTGCCCTAAGCTGCTGTTGGAACTCAGATCTGTTATGCTTCTCTTCTAGGAGGCAAGGTGTGAGAAGGTTAAGTTCACTGAGCAGAAATCTGAACAAAGGTATAAATTATGAACAAGATATGGACCAGCATGTTAGATGAAGACTAACTACTAATTATAGCCTGTAGGTACATTTGGAGCTTTATCTCCACTGGCAATGCAGAAACACCCAGCAAAAATGTGAGAGGAGATGGTAGGGGTTCCTAAGAGGACAGAAGTGGAACCTGGCAGGAGGTCCATGGGAGCTCCTGGGACTAGAGTTCTGGGAAGTTGAAAGAAATTCTCAGAAAGAGATATGTAGATTTCCAGATTGGGAGAGGAGCCCTCCCTTCAAGGCTTTTTTTTGTGGGGAAGAGAAGGGCATGGCTCACGTGTTTTCCTGAGCTTTGTTGGCCCCCAAATGCAGGCAGAGAACCAGGAGCAGGGTGGCAGGGCTGGCCCTGAACAGGAACTGGAGCAAGCGCATGCTGGAGAAAACAGAAGGCGATGTGTCCCCGAGAAGTGGTGTCCCAGGTGCCTAGCACGCTTCTTATATACAGATTGATCAAGGAAGTACAAGAGCTGCCAGGGAGATCCATGAGGTGAATCACCCACTCACCCTCCCACCTCGTGATCTTTCCTTGTTGACCCAAAGTTTGTTTTTCTAAGAAAAAATCAACACTCAGCTAGAATGGCAGCATTTGAGAGAGGAGTTAGATTGTTCTTCCTTATTTTATCAGTGTCAGAGTTTCTCAAAATGGCTGGGACCTCAAAAGATATACCAGTTTTTCCTGAGTTTACAGATTCAGTTTTCTTTTCCCTTCTAATTTGCCTGTCTGAAGTGCTGTGTGTAGTCTGAGCTTCAGTCACTGCTCCCCTGGTCTCTGAAAGCAGAGAACCCAGCTGTGGTGGCAGGTTTCAGACCACAGACATAGAACATCTTTGCTTGATCAAATTATAGTGAGCTCAAGATGCAATGCTATTCAGAACATTTCTTGGAGGGCTAGGATGATCAAGACTTCCCTAGCAGTCACTACCCATCATGAGGTGGAAGAGCTAGGGAAGACCTGAGCTGCTCTGCATGATGGGGAAGTAAGTTCAAGACACAGGGTGGCGTAAAGATGTTTATTATCATTGAGTTCTTCTTAATTTCAGGTGTGGTTGCAATATACCACAGATGCCCAAGATCCCCAGCTGCCCCACAACCCCCAAGGCAGGGTGATATTTTAATTCTAGACAATTCCTATAAATAGCTGGCACCCCCAAATCAGACTTCTTGGCACCAAAGAGCTGGCTCATTTTCTTATCGACATGGCCACTTTCTTACACTTGTCTCATGCATAAGCCACATAGGAAGACCCACAGTGGAAAGGACTCCTTCTGTGAGAATGGAGCCCACATTATGTCCAGTAGATACCCAGGTTGTAGAATTCCTCTCCTTGGGATGATGGGGAGACTTGCTCTTGCTGACACTGGCATTGTGCTATTTCTCCTTATGAAATTAAATCTGTTCCTTAACCTATAAATTGCAACACTATGGGATTTGTTTCTATTCTTTGCATGGCAGACAGCTGCCCAGGAAGAGCCTCTCTGGTAAGAGAGTGAAAATCAAAGTTCTAGGAGTTACCGCCTCTGTATGTTGCTTTAGCCAGGATTCAGAGCTAAAGTGTAAGTGTGTGCTTCTGCTTTCTGTATGTATCTCTCCTGCATCTACTTTCTCTTTCCTTTGAATTGGACACCATTCATGTCATTGCTCACTTAAAACTTCAGCTGTTCTCATGATCGCAGGCTTTCTTCCCTGTTTATGCCCTATCCACTCAAGAACAGTGCTCGCGAGGGTCACAGTGACCTTCCTTTGCAAGCCTTTTCCCACATTTAAATTGTCTTTACACCTGGTCCTTCTCACTTGAATAATTTCCATTTGAAGCACACACTAGCTAGACTGACCAAGGCAGGCATGAGGCAGAAGAATCTAGGAAGTGTCTGTGTGGGAAAATGCAGGAAAAGTTCTTTGCTGGGCTCTTTGAAGGCATAGCCCTGTCCTTGAGGATGTAACTCCAGCACTCCCAAAAGGCAGTGTCCAGAGGAAGGCAGATGACAATGGGTTAAGAGCATCTATTGAAGGTAATGAGGCTGTTCTTCTGTGAGCCAGCAGGAAACTGCAATACCTACAATCCTTCAATATACAGAAATTTTTTTTTTTTTTTTTTTTTTTTTGAGACAGAATCTCACTCTATCAGCCAGGCTGGAGTGCAGTGGCATGATCTCAACTCACTGCAACCTCCACCTCCCATGTTCAGGAAATTCTCAAGCCTCAGCCTCCCGAGTAGCGGGGATTATAGGCAGGTGCCACCATACCCAGCTAATTTTTGTGTCTTTGGTAGAGATGGGGTTTCACCATGTTGGCCAGGCTGATCTCACATTCCTGACCTCAAGTGATCCGCCTGCCTCAGCCTCCCAAAGTCCTGGGATTACAGACGTAAGCCACTGTGCCTGGTCCAGGACAAGTCTGATTCAGGCCATGACTGCTGTGATGGTTACTTTTATTTGTTAGCTTAGCTAGGCATGGTGCCTTTTTGGAAAAACAGCAGTTTAGATGTTGCTGTGAAGTTTTTGTTTGTTTCTTTTAAATGTGATTAACATTTAAATCAGTAAAATTTGAGTAAAACAGATTACCTCCATAATATGGGTCAGACTCATTGAATCAGCTGAAAACCTTAGGAGAAAAGCTTGAGGTCCCTTGAGTAAGAAGAAATTAGGGAGAAAAAGAAAACATAATTATTATGCCATAAAGAATGAAAAAGTCTAGGTTTAAGAAATCAAATAAAGGTTGATAAAATCAGATTGTAAACAACTCAGGAAGCTTATAGAAGAGAACGTGTATACTCCCAGAGGGAATGGGTTAAGATATAAGTGAAGCTTGCCACAGGCTAAGCTTGCAAAGAGAAAGTTCTGACCTTAGTTCTGACAGGGCTCATAAGAAGAAGATAAGGAATGGACAGAGAGAGGGAGTTATAGACACCAACACACATGAAGCATATGTTGTGTGCATTACACTGCTCTAAACATTTTAACATATATTAGTTCAACTTTTATTACAACCCTGTGAAGGTGGTTGCCATTTTTATTCCATTTTATAAGAGGAGAAACAGGGACCCGGGAGATAAATATCTAGCTCAGATCATATAGCCAGTATATGGCAGAGTCAACTTTGCATGCAGGTTTTGTGGAATCTGAGTTTTGATTTACAGTATCTGAGAACCTCTTTTTGAAGTAGAATCCAAACTTACAAATGTAAACTACAGGTACAGGATCTTGGAGGAGGCACCCATAAGTAGGAAGCCCTGAGGCTTCATGCCATTAACTTAATGGCGAATACACCTTTGGATGGGGCCAGAATTTCCACGCTGGCAGTCTGGCCCTGGAACATGATCCTTTAACCACTGCACTGCCTACTGGTGAGAACAAGTTTCAAAGTTAGTAACTGGCAGAGTTAGGGGTTCAAAATCAAGTAGTCTGATACCAGATTCTATGTCCTTAAAACACTTATCTAGTCTATTTATTGATGTAGCAATAGTTTAAAGTTGAGAAAAGGAAACTCACAGAGGTTTTAATAAGTTGTTCAGTCACAGAGCCAACAAATAACAAAGGTATTGCAGTTTGGCTTGGCCATATGACTAAGCCAAACCATTGGAACCCAGATAGAAGTGAATCCGGAGTTGGCACTTAGAGTGACTACTCTATATTTCCTCTTACTTAATAAAAGCATAATTGGCACAAGACTTGTACAAGGGCATCTAATGCATACTGAAGATGTAATGAATTGTTTCTTAGAGGAGGTTATATTCAGGCAAAATCTCTCAGAGGTGAGAGAAGTTGGAGTGTGACTCTTAGAAACTCTGTCATCTTTAGTATCATTTCTTTCTCTTTCTTTTTCCCCCTTTCCCCTTTCCCCTTTCCCCTTTCCCCTTTCCCCTTTCCTTTCCTTTCCTTTCCTTCTTTTTTTGATGGAATTTCACTCTTGTCACTCAGGCTGGAGTGCAGTGGCGCAATCTTGGCTCACCGCAACCTCCACCTCCTAAATTCAAGTGATTCTCCTGTCTCAGCCTCCTGAGTAGCCAGGATTACAGGTGCTTGCCAGCACTCCCAGCTAATTTTTTTATTTTTAGTAGAGATGGGGTTTCACCATGTTGTCCAGGCTGGTCTCAAACTCCTGACCTCAGGTGATCCACCCCCCTTGGTCTCCCAAAGTGCTGGAATTACAGGCATGCCTTTAGTGTCATTTCTAAGGTCACCCTGGTGATGTAGGGGTCAAGGGAAAAATTTTTTTCTGCCTTCTGAAATTTCACCGAAAAATAAACTGACAAAAAGTAGATTAATAGGAGAAATGGCATACAAGTTTATTAACGTACATGGGAGAGAATGACAGAGTGATTACCTCCAACTCCTCCATGGGGGTACAGAAGCTCATGTACCATCTTGAGGTTACAGAAAGAATGAGGTCTTGGAGCATGGCCAAAACCAGATTATGGTAGTAAATTAGGTTACAGTGGTGCTACAGGTTATGGGAGGGGAGAAGAGGAAGCCTGGCTAGCAAAGGTGGTCTTACTATTGTCAACCAAAAGAGTTAAACTCTGTAAAATATTTTAGGAGATTTATTCTAAGCCATATATGAGTGATCATGGCCTGTGACACAGCCCTCAGGAGGTCCTGAGAACATGTGCCCAAGGAGGTCGGGGTACCACTTGGTTTTATATATTTTAAGGGAGGTATGAGACACCCATCAAAAACATTTAAGAAACATTGGTTTGGTTCAGAAAGGCAGGATAACTCAAAAGTGGGGGCTGGGGGAGAGGTCTAGGCTATAGGTAAATTTAAACATTTTCTGTTTGACAATTGGTTGAGTTTATCTGAAGACCTGGGCTCAATAGAAAGAAAATGTTCGGGTTAAGATAAAGATTGTGGAGATCAAGTTTTATCATGCAGAAGAAGCTCTCAGATAGCAGACTTCAGAGAGAGCAGGTTGCAAATGTTTCTTATCGGACTTAAAAGGATGCCTGGCTCTTAGGTGATTATCTCCTGGATCTGGAAAGGAAGGAAGGAAAAGAAAGGAGTAAGGGGATTCTCTATAGAATGTGAATTTTTTCCACAAGGGACTTTGCAGGGCAATTTCAAGGCATGGCAAGGGAATGTATTTGGGGGTAAAACATTTTGATTTTCTTCCTTGTTATGCCAGAGTCAGATTGGAAAGTAAGTCACAATATACAGGGTTAAAATAAAACCCATATGATGAGCTTTTATGGTCTCCAGCTCCTTAGATAGGAATTTGGTCAAGATTAAAACAAACACACACACACACACACACACACAAAACAAAACAAACAAACAAACAAACAAAAACAGAGATTATGCAGGTGAAATCTCACAGGTAGTAGCCCTTAGAGAGAATAGGTGGTAAATGTTTCTTTCACACCTTTAAAGGTATCAGACTCTCAGTTAATCTTTCCTAGATCTGCAAGGGAGGACCTTAAAAAAAGCCTGTTGCATCAGTGCAGATTCTCTACAGACTCCAATCTTCCCCCAAAAAGATAACTTTGCAGCACTGCTTCTGTTTGCAGATCCTCTAACAGCCATCTCAAAGTATGCCAAGGAGTATCTTTTGGGTGAAATAGTTTTGTTTTCTTCAGGTATTAGTATTCAGCTTTTAAGAGGTGAAAGAGAGGATGGAGAATTATGGAGGGTTTTTTTTTAATGGGCAAGATTTGGAAGTGGCTTCCAAATCATAGAATGTCGTTCATTCTTTGTCCCCGTGGTCACAGCTTAGTTATATAGCCAAATCAGACTGCAAGAGACATTGGGAAATTTAGTATAGCTGTGTGCTTAGGAGGAAAGGGAAAAAGATATGGTAAGTTGCTGTGTTCCCATACATATGTGGTATGTGTACCTGTGTTTTTAATAGAGAATGTCATCCTAAAATAATCAAAAAGGTCAGAATCTAGTTGAAAG